TTTGGCTATCGAGTTTCATGGGTTTTTAAATTTAAGATTATGAACACATCGGCTTGACGAAAATGATTATATACACTTAAATACATACTAAAATTTACTTTTGTTAATAAACCTACACTATTTTATGCACACATACAAAAAATAATATTTTAGCGGCAGTTACAACGTCAAAAAAAAAAAAGGAAACTCCTTTATACTGAATAGTTCTACGTAACAACAAAAATGTAAAAATACATTGTCCTAGAGCACACTAACACATACATATATACATACGAAGATATGTGTGTGTGTAAGTAGGATGTGAGGTGGGTAGACAGGCGGGGTGGAAGGAAAGCAGTTTGGCAGGGATAACGGTAGGTAGGAAAGTAGGTAGGCAGGCAGCAGCGCAGGCAGGTTAGTAGATAGGTCGGTACAGAGGCAGGGAGTTAGGTATATAGGTAGGTGGGCCTAGGTAGGAAGGCGCCTCACTCGGTATAGTGAGCGATTATAGTAGCCCATCATATTTATAGCGTTTCGCAATTATTAAAACGAACAAAGGTACCATAGTACTCACGGGAAAACCCGGGGAGCTAAATGGAACCCTGCCAGGGCGCCACCAAATCGAATTTTTTTTCGCAGAAACCACCACAGGAGTATTAGCATTAACTTCTCAAATTTGAATGACAAACGAATGAAATCTTTGGTAATGCTTAAACAAACAAACCCACATATTCGTTTTTGGGGCGCGGGTTTGTCCACACTGCCGCCTAGACGCATCAAGGCTCACTGTATGAAAGCCTTGAGTGTACGTTAATCAACCTCTGTAATACTGAGGTAGAACACACATTGGCGACCGCCCATGTGTTAGAGACGCGTCCCTTGGCGCTCCAGGGAGCCACTGGTTATACTCCCGCAGGGGCGCCCCTAATTCGGTTTAATTATAAAATGTCGTGTGCCACCGTGTCCCTATTGTAGGGTGCTCTTTAAAGAGGCACTCTCTGTAGAGCCCGGGGCGCTCGCTGTCGCCAACTGCCAGGGCGCCGGCGGGCACTCATTATTCTACTTAGTGAACATTTATAGCAGCCCATCTAAACCGTAGTGTCGCCCGAGGTGGGTCTTGGCCGCTCTGAACCACTCAACCGCCGGGGAGCTGGCGGATGAACCTGGTGTAGTTTTATCACTGAATCTCAGAGGCGTAGCACCATTCCTGGCGCCAGGGGACAAATTTTCAATTTGGCGCCCCCCCCCCCTCCCGCCGGAGACAAACTTTCAATTTGGCGTCCCCCCCCCCGTATTTTTTAAATATTTATAATGCAAAACTGTAGCTAAAATGAGCTTTTAAATTTTTCCCACCCATTTTGGCGCCCCTAGGGTTGGCGCCCGGGGACATATGTACCCCCGCCCCCCTCGCTACGCCTCTGCTGAATCTAGTATTACCTATGACCGCAATTGATGAGATAGCCCCTCTGGATTCCCCTCTGGATTCTCAGCTCATAATCGTATACTGAGAAAATTCTAACCCTCCCAGGGTGCCACACTTAAGAATTTTTTTCTTTCTCGAAACCCTTTTCACCAACTCTCCAAAATGTTATGACTCTCGTACGAACAGTGTCAAATTGCATCTGGCTTTTATTTTTATGGAGAAAAATTGCATTGCTTCCTGTCAGAGACCCCAGATCGAATGGGGCGCCAAAAGGGGTAGACAATTTTTTAAAAATCCTCATTCTTCAGTAAAATTTAAGAAAACAGATTTATACATGACTGATATCCTCAATTATTTTATATAGGGGAGTGTATGTAGGGATGGGCGCCTTTTTGCCAGCGTTTGAATAGGGTTGGCACAACAGTGATAGTTCGCCCCGGGCGCCGGAATAGGTTGCTACATCTCTGCTTCCTGCTAGGGCGCCGCCCTGGTGAAATCTTTCCGGGGGGGGGGGGCGTGCGGACATTGTTAAAAGTATATATTTTTTTCTATATAAATTCCGTTTCGTTCGGGGGTGGGGTGGGGGTCGATAGACTTTCTTCGGGGGGTGGGTGGGGGGCTCTGCTTCCCCCCCCCCCCCCTCCGAATAGATTCCTGGAAAATCTCTGTTCACAAAGTTTTATGGCGATCCGATGAAAAAGATGTAGTAATTCATATAGGACAAACAGATAAACAATCTTTCATTTCTATAAATATAAATAGATATATAGGGCCTACTTTAACTAGTGTCCGCATACCCGCACCCGGAAACTTAGTCACAATTTTCTTTGTTACATTTGAACCCTTTAGGTTAATCAATATTAACAAAATTGAACAAGATGCAACAAATACAGTTAACCAAGAAATTGAACAAGTAAAATTCACGTTATCTTTTTATTGTTTTTAGATATAGAGTAGTAACAGACTACCTACAGGTCCTAACTCGCGACGAGGTACACATTTGTATTAAAACACAGATCTAAGACATTTTCCATTTAGGTGGGTTTTGCAGTACAGTGGTTTCTTAAGTCGTGGACAAGTGATTGCGCTTCTCTCTGTTGAGTAGCAATGCATTCTGTCCTATATTAGACACATTTGTAAATATCTGTCACAATATGGGCATAGAGATGATATAACGATAGCTTATCTTTGCGGACGACGCTAAACTTTGGCATCGACACCACGGCCTACAAGTTCAAATTTGGTCCTTCAGAAATGTTTGAAGTCTCTAGATTAAAACTAATTTTCTCTTTTATGTGCCTACTGACCACATCACATGTATTTGTTCTGAAAGTCTAAAAAACAGAGGCACAAATATATCATCTAGACTTGTGAGGTCTACAGATTAGGTATTTTGGCAGTTATCTAAGCCCTTGCCTGTTCTGACTCAAAGCCTTATTCTTTCTCTATCGACGCCTTGCGTAACATGGGATTGGGTTTTTAAAGCGGCATAAAGCTTTATGTTGTTCCTTTTTGAGTACACTAGATTAAAAACTAACGTTTTCAGATGCATAAAGATGTTTAACCACTAATTAATCAGAATAATGGGTCAAGATTTCAATTCTTGGTTTTGGGACACGTTAGTTGCCGGGGTTGAGCTAATGTCGATAGCATAAGGACTGTACCTTGATGCGGGCGTTTTATTTGTTGCCCATCGTAATAATTGAATGGTTGATGGGGCTTCTTCAAGGGTTTGATTTGCCGTAATGTTAATAATGTCATGCATGTGAGGCTTTTGTAAGAAGAAAATGCGTTAAAACACTTTTTAGTTATGCTTTTTTTAAATAGGCCTATATTTTACGACAACATAATCGTAATGAACAATAAAATGAATTTAAACAACTTTAGAATACACCTGTTTCGGCTAACATGAATATTATTCTTCAAACTAGTAATGTTAAACGTGTCTTTTTCGCATTTTCGACTTATAAGCATTACAGTAAATTCCGATAACGCCCATATGCATACAAGCAATGGCGTAGGCGAGGAGGGGTTTAATAGTGATTTAATAATGATACTTTCTTAACCCTCTACTGGACATCATATTTGGTACCTTGAACCCGGCAACTGGGTGGATTTGGATTACACCCAAGTTTTACTTTATAGTAAATGGCTTCAGTTTTAATTATTAGAGTTGGTTGCAACATTGACACAGTTGAAGGTATTCAGAACAAGGTGGCCAGGAGAAATCACATTAATTAGTATAAAATTTACCATTACTAACAATAGGCCCTACTTAATTGTTTAATGTTGCTGGATATTAAGCCTTGTAGGTATTTATGTTTATTAATTTGTACAGAAACAAAAAAAAAAGGATTCCCAAACAAAGTTTTATTTTTCAGAAATAAAGAAAATGATACAAATCAATAAAGAAAAATTTTCAAAAGAATTTGTATAAAAGTAATTATTATAAAATAGGAATATAGCATTGCATAGATAAAAATAAAATACTTGACACAAACAATATGAGGAATATTTTTTATCAGAGAAGAGGAAAATATATGATGTAGTTTGAAAATAATAATGTACAGAATGTAGCTTTTGCAGATTAAAATGAAAATTCTCATGCCTATATTATTTATTGAGTAAATGAAGCAAGGCCTAAAACACTAGGCTAAATAATATGCATGGGACAGGCATTGAAAACTACAAATTGCATATAGGGAAGGTTACAATATTTTTTTGGCTATATCCACCACAGTAAAGATTTATGCTTTATTACCTGCATGTAACATTGTTAAGGAAAAAGTGAAGTATTGTTAACTTTTTATGGCAGGCCAAATACGGGCTGTGTTCTGGGAACATGTCATCTGTAAGGGGCATTGTTCTCGGCACATGTTGCCATTTTGTGTGTTCTGGGCACATAATGACATTTTGTGTGTTCTGGGAACATGTTGCCATTTTGTGTGTTCTGGGAACATTTTGCCATTTTGTGTGTTCTGGGAACATGTTGAAATTATGTGGCTGTGTTCTGAATTATGTGGCTGTGTTCTGGGAACATGTTTGTTTCATTTTTAAATATTATAATAAAACATTTTTAGAAATTCTATATTAGGAATTGTGTATATATATAAATTTATATATTTAATAAGACAATTGGATGAATTATAATAAACAGCAAAAATGATTCAAATAAGTTTAGAAGTATTTGGCTTGATGTCCCAACAGTGAACTGTATACCGAGCTTGTTTCCCTAGTGATAACCCATCTTTTTTGTGCCACCCTTCCAATCAAATATCCAGCTTTTTCTTGGCCTGTATCATAATGCTGGTCACAGACTTGCTTGATTTGTGTATCACAATATGATTTTGAATATTCTTCTGTAAATGAAATAAAGACAAAACATTTTGATATATTCTTTTGTGGAACTAGCAAGAGAAATACATTACAAATTTATATTACTATCTCTACTATTTCTTTACTATAACTAATTACTTTGAAAAGATAAAGCACTGAACATGATGAATAACAAGAAACAAACATTATCAGCTAAGATTATAGATTTAAAATTGTGTTCATTCATATTGAAGATTAATGAAGTAGACTATCAATATTTACCCTCTTGATAGCTGATACTTTGATTTTATGTCTTTACTTTAAGATTACACATCAGTCTCTGTGTGGTAAAATATGAAATAATATGCTTCAATAAAACTGTTTCAGTATATTAATTATATTAGATAAGTACATAGTTTTGAGCTCTATAACAATATGTGTTTCAATTATCATTCAAATATAATACCCTCTATGTTGTACAACTCACTGATTTATTAGAATTTAAGAAAAGACAATAATTAATAAAATATTTTGGATTAAAATCCATTATATTTATTATAACATATAATGCTATCTCTTGCTATAATAATTACTTTAAAAAATGGGTTATGCCTATAGTACAGTTACCTGAGGATGAAACTAGGCACAGTGTATAGTCCACGGAGACTGATTAATATCCCTTGTAATTGAACATCAGTTGTAGTTATGAAATCTGGATGGCCAAACACACACTCATAGTCCTGAAAAGCAATTTACACATAGATTAGCAAGAATATCTCACAAATTATTAAATTAAAGCTAACCCCTATTTAGTGCAATCCATCAAAGTAGTAGCATTTTTGTTAAGTTGTAGACACAATACAAAGTAATGTTTGTTCGGTGAGTTACATACTTTTATAAAATAGCAATATATATATATATATATATATATATATATATATATATATATATATATATATATATATATATATACATTCATTGTAAATTTTAATTATGTCTTGCTATTAAATTTATTTACTCGACTGATCTAAACTCACTTTATTTAAACATAATATAGTGAATAAGTATAGTGATTTTATTATTCAGCAATAAATAGCAGGCCTAAAAAAATTTAAATAGTAACGTTTGCGAATGAACACATTAAATTCTATGTATTTCCATTTCTATGTCTTTCCCAACTTGATGCATATTACTAACCAAGCATTAAACTATAGTCCTAAACCTGACTCTAATTACCATTTATTGGACAACCTGAACCTTTGCGATACCATGTTATAATATATTATTTTAAAAAAGAGCTTACCACTAATTACTAAAATCAATTGTTTTTAGTATTAACTGAGCCGCATACTATCTGCTCCTATTGTCATCACCAGAAATCCAGTATGTTGGCAAAGATTAGTCTCTAAGTTCCCTGCAACCTCTTTTCTCTCGAGTGCGGAAAACACTGAAATCATTAATCATTATTTCATTATGCCTAATAGTTTAAAGGTAGTATTAAAGTAGTACTAAATAGTACGAGTCTTAGTTACTATAGGTCTAATGATAATTATTATTGTGTATGCTTACATGCTTTAAGTGTTATGCACAATATTGGTATATAATATATAGTCTATAGTATATAGCCTAAGCTATAGAGTATGTAGGCCTATAAGCCTAAATATAACAGCAGCTTGAATAATGCTCATAAGCATGCATTCACTATAAACTATAAAGATAAACAAATATTTCAATTTAATTTAATTATAACTAATAATAGTAAATAGGCTTTTTTCTTGTGGTAACAAATTTAAAGTATAGGGCAGTACAGTTATAGTATAGGCCTACTAGATTCTATATTTAAGTATGTGGGCTTTTCATTCCAATGCACCACAATAGATACCACACATGATCAAGCTGGACCTCTGATCTAAAGATTTAATAATTGGGCCTAACAAACAGTGAAACTACAATAAAAATCATGTAAATTACTAATTTAACCTTCTTACCTCCGCTTCTCTAGATGGGTTTTCTTTTTATGCAGCCGTATGATTAGATTCTAGAATCTAGACTATATTCTAATAAACATGAAATAACTACTAACCAGAACACTAGATCTAAATTTCTATATTCTATGCAATATGTATTAAACCTACAGGCCTAATATTTATTTTAAATTCCTATGCGATGTGTCGTGAACTGTAGGTTTCATGTTATTTTTGTAATGGCGGAAATCAGTTTAAAATTTCGTTTCCTTCCTTTTGTTATTCTATTTATAGATTTAGAGTCGGAGCAATTATCATTGAGTTAGTCGGCTGATCCACACAGGAAGTGCTGGTATATCTATTACTTACTCAGTGATCTGATCATTGACAGAAACAAAGATAGCCATTCGCATGGGGTGCCGGCGAAAATATTTTGCGGACAGACAGAGAGAGAGAGAGAGAGAGAGAGAGAGAGAGAGAGAGAGAGAGAGATGTGCGAACGTGGGGTTTTCACCCCATGCGAATGGCTATCTCTGTCTCTGTCAATGATCAGATCACTGAGTAAGTCATAGATATACCCGCACTTCCTGTGTGGATCGGCCGACTAACTCAATGATAATTGCTCCGACTCTATAAATAGAATAACAAAAGGAAGGAAACGAAATTTTAAACTGATTTCCGCCATTACAAAAATAACATGAAACCTACAGTTCACGACACATCGCATAGGAATTTAAAATAAATATTAGGCCTATAGGTTTAATACATATTGCATAGAATATAGAAATTTAGATCTAGTGTTCTTTTATGTTTACTAGGATATAGTCTAGATTCTAGAATCTAATCATACGGCTGCATAAAAAGAAAACCCATCTAGATTCTAGATCTACTCTAGAGAAGCGGAGGTAAGAAGGTTAAATTAGTAATTTACATGATTTTTATTGTAGTTTCACTGTTTGTTAGGCCCAATTATTAAATCTTTAGATCAGAGGTCCAGCTTGATCATGTGTGGTATCTATTGTGGTGCATTGGAATGAAAAGCCCACATACTTAAATATAGAATCTAGTTAAGTAGGCCTATACTATAACTGTACTGCCCTATACTTTACCACAAGAAAAAAGCCTATTTACTATTATTAGTTATAATTAAATTAAATTGAAATATTTGTTTATCTTTATAGTTTATAGTGAATGCATGCTAATGAGCATTATTCAAGCTGCTGTTATATTTAGGCTTATTATAGGCCTATATAGTAGTATATACTCTATAGCTTAGGCTATAGGCCTATACTATAGACTATATATTATATACCAATATTGTGCATAAAATTTAAAGCATGTAAGCATACACAATAATAATTATCATTAGACTTATAGTAACTAAGACTCGTACTATTTAGTACTACTTTAATACTACCTTTAAACTATTAGGCATAATGAAATAATGATTAATGATTTCAGTGTTTTCCGCACTCGAGAGGAATGAGGTTGCAGGGAACTTAGAGACTAATCTTTGCCAACATATTGGATTTCTGGTGATGACAATAGGAGCAGATAGTATGCGGCTCAGTTAATACTAAAAACAATTGATTTTAGTAATTAGTGGTAAGCTCTTTTTTAAAATAATATATTATAACATGGTATCGCAAAGGTTCAGGTTGTCCAACAAATGGTAATTAGAGTCAGGTTTAGGACTATAGTTTAATGCTTGGTTAGTAATATGCATCACGTTGGGAAAGACATAGAAATGGAAATACATAGAATTTATTGTGTTCATTCGCAAACGTTACTACTTAAATTTTTTTAGGCCTGCTATTTATTGCTGAATAATAAAATCACTATACTTATCCACTATATTATGTTTAAATAAAGTGAGTTTAGATCAGTCGAGTAAATAAAATTTAATAGCAAGACATAACTAAAATTTACAATGAATATATATATATATATATATATATATATATATATATATATATATATATATATATATATATATATATATATATATATATATGGCTATTTTATAAAAGTATGTAAATCACAGAACAAACATTACTTTGTATTGTGTCTACAACTTAACAAAAATGCTACTACTTTGATGGATTGCACTAAATAGGGGTTAGCTTTAATTTAATAATTTGTGAGATATTCTTGCTAATCTATGTGTAAATTGCTTTTCAGGACTATGAGTGTGTGTTTGGCCATCCAGATTTCATAACTACAACTGATGTTCAATTACAAGGGATATTAATCAGTCTCCGTGGACTATACACTGTGCCTAGTTTCATCCTCAGGTAACTGTACTATAGGCATAACCCATTTTTTAAAGTAATTATTATAGCAAGAGATAGCATTATATGTTACAATAAATATAATGGATTTTAATCTAAAATATTTTATTAATTATTGTCTTTTCTTAAATTCTAATAAATCAGTGAGTTGTACAACATAGAGGGTATAATATTTGAATGATAATTGAAACACATATTGTTATAGAGCTCAAAACTATGTACTTATCTAATATAATTAACAGTTATAATGAAACAGTTTTATCGAAGCATATTATTTCATATTTTACCACACAGAGACTGATGTGTAAGCTTAAAGTAAAGACATCAAAGTATCAGCTATCAAGAGGGTAAATATTGATAGTCTACTTCATTAATCTTCAATATGAATGAACACAATTTTAAATCTATAATCTTTGCTGATAATGTTTGTTTCTTGTTATTCATCATGTTCAGTGCTTTATCTTTTCAAAGTAATTAGTTATAGTAAAGAAATAGTAGAGATAGTAATATAAATTTGTAATGTATTTCTCTTGCTAGTTCCACAAAAGAATATTTCAAAATATTTTGTCTTTATTTCATTTACAGAAGAACATTCAAAATCATATTGTGATACACAAATCAAGCAAGTCTATGACCAGCATTATGATACAGGCCAAGAAAAAGCTGGATATTTGATTGGAAGGGTGGCACAAAAAAGATGGGTTATCACTAGGGAAACAAGCTCGGAATACAGTTCACTGTTGGGACATCAAGCCAAATACTTCTAAACTTATTTGAATCATTTTTGCTGTTTATTATAATTCATCGAATTGTCTTATTAAATATATACATTTATATATATACACAATTCCTAATATAGAATTTCTAAAAATGTTTTATTATATTTAAAAATGAAACAAACATGTTCCCAGAACACAGCCACATAATGTCAACATATTCCCAGAACACAGCCACATAATGTCAACATGTTCCCAGAACACAGCCACATAATGTCAACATGTTCCCAGAACACAGCCACATAATTTCAACATGTTCCCAGAACACACAAAATGGCAACATGTTCCCAGAACACACAAAATGGCAACATGTTCCCAGAACACAGCCAAATAATGGCATCATATTCCCAGAACACAGCCAAATAATGTCAACATGTTCCATGAACTCACAAAATGGCAACATGTTCCCAGAACACACAAAATGTCATTATGTACCCAGAACACACAAAATGGCAACATGTTCCCAGAACACACAAAATGGCAACATGTGCCGAGAACACAAAAAATGACAACATGTGCCGTTAACAATACTTCACTTTTTCCTTAACAATTTTACAAGCAGGTAATAAAGCCATAAATCTTTACTGTGGATATAGCCAATAAATAGGGTAACCTTCACTATATGCAATTTGTAGTTTTCAATGCCTGTCCCATGCATATTATTTAGCCTAGTGTTTTGGGCCTTGCTTCATTTACTCAATAAATTATACAGGCATGAGAATTTTCATTATAATCTGCAAAAGCTACATTCTGTACATTATTATTTTCAAACTACATCATATATTTTTCTTTTCTCTGATAAAAAATATTCCTCATATTGTTTGTGTCAAGGATTTTATTTTTATCTATGCAATGCTATATTCCTATTTTATAATAATTACTTTTATACAAATTCTTTTGAAAACTGTTCTTTATTGATTTGTATTATTTTCATTATTTCTGAAAAATAAAACTTTGTTTGGGAATCTTTTTTTTTTTGTTTCTGTACAAATTAATAAACATGAATACCTACCAGGCTTAATATCCAGCAACATTAAACAATTAAGTAGGGCCTATTGTTAATAATAGTAAATTTTATACTAATTAATCTGATTTCTCCTGGCCACCTTGTTCTGAATACCTTCAACTGTGTCAATGTTGCTACCAACTCCAATAATTAAAACTGAAGTCATTTACTATGAAGTAAAACTTGGGTGTAATCCAAATCCACCCAGTTGCCGGGGGGCAAGGTACCAAACATGATGTCCAGTAGAGGGTTAAGAAAGTATCAGTGTTAAATCACTATTAAACCCCTCCTCGCCTACGCCATTGCTTGTACGCATATGGACGTTATCGGAATTTACTGTATTGCTTATAAGTCGAAAATGCGAAAAAGACATGTTTAACATTACTAGTTTGAAGAATAACATTCATGTTAGCCGAAACAGGTGTATTCTAAAGTTGTTTAAATTCATATTATTGTTCATTACGAGTATGTTGTCGTAAAATATAGGCCTATTTAAAAAAGCATAACTAAAAAGTGTTTTAACGCATTTTCTTCTTAGAAAAGCCTTACATGCATGATATCAATAACATTACGGCAAATCTAACCCTTGAAGAAGCCCCATCAACCATTCAATTATTACGATGGGCAACAAATAAAACGCCCGCATCAAGGTACAGTTTTTATGCTATCGACATTAGCTCAACCCCGGCAACTAACGTGTCCCAAAACCAAGAATTGAAATCTTGACCCATTATTCTGATTAATTAGTGGTTAAACATCTTTAGGCATCTGAAAACGTTAGTTTTTAATCTAGTGTACTAAAAAAGGAACAACATAAAGCTTTATGCCGCCTTAAAAACCCAAATCCCATGTTACGCAAGGCGTCGATAGAGAAAGAATAAGGCTTTGAGTCAGAACAGGCAAAGGCTTAGATAACTGCCAAAATACCTAATCTGTAGACCTCACAAGTCTAGACGATATATTTGTGCCTCTGTTTTTAGACTTTCAGAACAAATGCATGTGATGTGGTCAGTAGGCACATAAAAGAGAAAAGTAGTTTTAATCTAGAGACTTCAAACATTTCTGAAGGACCGAATTTGAAGTTGTAGGCGGTTGTGTCGATGCCAAAGTTTAGCGTCGTCCGCAAAGATAAGCTATCGTTATATCATCTCTATGCCCATATTGTGACAGATATTTACAAATGTGTCTAATATAGGACAGAATACATAGTTACTCAATAGAGATAAGCGCAATCACTTGTCCACGACTTAAGAAACCACTGTACTGCAAAACCCACCTAAATGGAAAATGTCTTAGATGTGTGTTTTAATACAAATGTGTACCTCGTCGCGGGTTAGGACCTGTAGGTAGTCTGTTACTACTCTATATCTAAAAACAATAAAAAGATAACGGGAATTTTACTTGTTCAATTTCTTGGTTAACTGTATTTGTTGCATCTTGTTCAATTTTGTTAATATTGATTAACCTAAAGGGTTCAAATGTAACAAAGAAAATTGTGACTAAGTTTCCGGGTGCAGGTATGCGGACACTAGTTAAAGTAGGCCCTATATATCTATTTATATTTATAGAAATGAAAGATTGTTTATCTGTTTGTCCTATATGAATTACTACATCTTTTCCATCGGATTACCATAAAACTTTGTGAACAGAGTTTTTTCCAGGAATCTATTCGGAGGGGGGGGGGGGGGGGGGGAGGCAGAGCCCCCGCACCCCCCGAAGAAAGTCTATCGACCCCCCCCCCCCACCCCCCGAACGAAACGGAATATATATAGAAAAAAATATATACTTTTAACAGTGTCCGCACGCCCCCCCCCCGGTAAGATTTCGCCAGGGCGGCGCCCTAGCAGGAAGCAGAGGTGTAGCAACCTATTCCGGCGCCCGGGGCGAACTATCAATGTTGTGCCAACCCTATTCAAACGCTGGCAAAAAGGCGCCCATCCCTACCTACACTCCCCTATATAAAATAATTGAGGATATCAGTCATGTATAAATCTGTTTTCTTAAATTTTACTGAAGAATGAGGATTTTTAAAAAATTGTCTACACCTTTTGGCGCCCCATTCGATCTGCGGTCTCTGACAGGAAGCAATGCAATTTTTCTCCATAAAAATAAAAGCCAGATGCAATTTGACACTGTTCGTACGAAAGTCATAAAATTTTGGGGAGTTGGTGAAAAGGGTTTCGAGAAAGAAAAAAATTCTTAAGTGTGGCACCCTGGGAGGGTTCGATTTTTCTCATTAAACGATTATGAGCCCAGAATCCAGAGGGGAATCCAGAGGGGCTATCTCATCAATTGCGGTCTTAGGTAATACTAGATTCAGCAGAGGCGTAGAGGGGGGCGGGGGGTGCATATGTCCCCGGGCGCCAACCCTAGGGGCGCCAAAATGGGTGGGAAAAATTTAAAGCTCATTTTAGCTACAGTTTTGCATTATAAATATTTAAAAAATACGGGGGGGGGGGGGACGCCAAATTGAAAGTTTGTCTCCGGCGGGAGGGGGGGGGGGGCGCCAAATTGAAAATTTGTCCCCAGGCGCCAGGAATGGTGCTACGCCTCTGAGATTCAGTGATAAAACTACACCAGGTTCATCCGCCAGCTCCCCGGCGGTTGAGTGGCCCAGAGCGGCCAAGACCCACCTCGGGCGACACTACGGTTTAGATGGGCTACTATGAATGTTCACTAAGTAGAATAATGAGCGCCCGCCGGCGCCCTGGCAGTTGGCGACAGCGAGCGCCCCGGGCTCTACAGAGAGTGCCTCTTTAAAGAGCACCCTACAATAGGGACACGGTGGCACACGATATTTTATAATTAAACCGAATTAGGGGCGCCCCTGCGGGAGTATAACCAGTGGCTCCCTGGAGCGCCAAGGGACGCGTCTCTAACACATGGGCGGTCGCCAATGTGTGTTCTACCTCAGTATTACAGAGGTTGATTAACGTACACTCAAGGCTTTCATACAGTGAGCCTTGATGCGTCTAGGCGGCAGTGTGGACAAACCCGCGCCCCAAAAACGAATATGTGGGTTTGTTTGTTTAAGCATTACCAAATATTTCATTCGTTTGTCATTCAAATTTGAGAAGTTAATGCTAATACCCCTGTGGTGGTTTCTGCGGAAAAAAAAATCGATTTGGTGGCGCCCTGGCAGGGTTCCATTTAGCTCCCCGGGTTTTCCCGTTAGTATTATGGTACCTTTGTTCGTTTTAATAATTGCGAAACGCTATGAATATGATGGGCTACTATAATCGCTCACTATACCGAGTGAGGCGCCTTCCTACCTAGGCCCACCTACCTACATACCTAACTCCCTGCCTACGTACCTACCTATCTACTAACCTGCCTGCGCTGCTGCCTGCCTACCTACTTTCCTACCTACCGTTATTCCTGCCAAACTGCTTTCCTTCCACCCCACCTGTCTACCCACCTCACATCCTACTTACACACACACATATCTTCGTATGTATATATGTATGTGTTAGTGTGCTCCAGGACTATGTATTTTTACATTTTTGTTGTTACGTAGAACTATTCAGTATAAAGGAGTTTCCTTTTTTTTTTTGACGTTGTAACTGCCGCTAAAATATTATTTTTTGTATGTGTGCATAAAATAGTGTAGGTTTATTAACAAAAGTAAATTTTAGTATGTATTTAAGTGTATATAATCATTTTCGTCAAGCCAATGTGTTCATAATCTTAAATTTAAAAACCCATGAAACTCGATAGCCAAAGATTTAGAATGAGAATAATTGCTATTTAACCAGAAATACCTATTCTAATTATTGTTATTATATTTTTTTAAAATAAATATACACAGAGGTAGATTGTTTTCTTATATAATTAATTAAAAAAGTCAACTGTATTTCATAACGAAAATTAACACAAAATACATTCGAATAGAAACTGTCAAGGGAGACTACTCTAATATTTGTAGGAATAATAGTTTTTATTTAGAGTTTTTTTTTATTACTAGAAGAAAAGTTAATCATGTAGGTTCTATAAAAGATTACCTTGCATTTAAAAAAA